GTCCGAAATCCCCCGACAGGTGAGTGCGTTGGGGGGGCCCGGTCCCCAACCGGGTGCCCTGCCCGGCCAGGCCGCCCGGGACCTCCCCCGGGCCCCTGCCGGTCACCCGGGCGGCCCGGATCCCCACTCAGTAAATTATTACTAATGTTTTTTTTTTTTCTTTTTCCGGTCCAGACATTTTTGTGTCTGGTGTACCGGTCCGGACAGTCCGGGTCCACTCCTATCTGGTTGTCCCGTGCCTGTCCAGATTACCGGACGTCTGGAGTCTGGACCAGTCCAGACAAATGTCTGGGCCTCGGTCCAGACATGTCCGGGTTCGGGTCCGCGGTTGCCATGGTTTCCAACATCAGTGGAAGAGGAGCTGTTTTCTGAAGTTTTTTTAACACCACTGGAAAAAGGAGAAGTTTGTGGCAATACTGGTAAGAGCCCTAGAACGGCACGCGTGCTAGGGCAGCAGGGCTTCAAAACCTCAAAGCAAACATTCCAACTTTTTGCTTTTCTGAAGTTTTTTCAACATCACTGGAAGAGGAGAAATTCATCGCAACACTGGTAAGACGAAGTTACAGCACGCGTGCCGTTCTAGGGCTTCAAAACCTCAAAGCAACCATTGTGCAGTTATTTGCAAAATCTAGAGGCAGATTGTTCTGGGAGAGAAGGGGGCATACGAGTACTGGGCTGGCCGCACTTGGTTTGATCACTCACCCTTTCCAACTCCTTGCAGGCAGCCAAGAACTTTGGATGATTAATGCCAAGTTTCCTGGGACAAAAGAGAGAAACACAAACACATGCAGCCAATATGAAAAACAAAAACTTGATTCATGTTTCCTTCCAGAGCAGCAGTGACAGGATCTTCTTCTTCTTCTTTTCTTCTTCATCATCATCATATTCTTCTTCTTCTTCTTCTTCTTCTTCTTCTTCTTCTTCTTCTGTGAGACTTCATGTTAATGGTTCAAACAGATTTCATATGGAATGTGTTGCGATGAGAACGAACGAGTTTTCAGGAGCTACTGCAATTACAGGTTACGCTAGGGCAATACCTGTTGTCGGATGCAACCACCTCATGGAGTATAGCTTGCATCTTAAACTTTCATATGCGATCGACATCTTCAGGACAGGGAACTCCACTGATGCGTCCCACTTGCCACTCGCGAGCATTGGCTCAAGGGCTTCTTCTGCAAAGAAGCCCGTGTGGGTGTGTTTGGGTGTCATCAGGCCAGAGTCGCCGCAGACAAATGTACACCCTCAAGTCGTCTTGATTGAGTTATACGAGTGAACAGAAAGGAGTGGGAGGAGAAGGTTGGTAGTCCTTCGACTTGATCTATAAGGAGGAAAGCAGTTGGCTACACTCTCGTTGTGCATATTCCACAATTTCACTGATGTGCGCTTCTCTACAACATATCTCAATGTGTGTATTCCACAATCTCACTGATGTGCCATTCTATCCAACATATTCCCATAGGCCGTGTGCTGAAAACTGTCATCGCAACAGCCCTCTTCCACCCAGATGAGCAGATCCAAAATTGAAACAGCTTGCTCTCTATAGAAAATAAACCTTAGTATGTTGGAAGGACAATGAAGCACACTAAGATGAGAAAATCCAAGATTGAACAACTTTACCTCTTATGGCAAACAGCGTGAGGCATAACAAAACCGGTATATTGCCTTTTTCCTTGTACACTGTACAGTCCTTTCTTTGCGGAACCCTTTCTACTTCGGCTCTTGGCCGTGTGTGTGTTTGTGTGTTGTCTTGTTCGCTATACACAAATCCACAAAAAGCCCATGATGGTGCCAGGCTGTTTTTCATCCGACTTTCACCGACTCATCATGTGTGTTGTCATATTCGCTATACACTCAAAAAAAGCACGACTGTACCATCATGTGTGTGTGTACGTACGAGTTGTTCAAACAGCACCGTAGAGGTCAGTCAGCTCTTAGAGATGTGGGAACCTTGTATCATGGGCGAATTGTGCGCCGTGTGCCAAAGGGGGGCTTGGAACCCCTCAAAGATCAAGGCGGGGAAGGGCTGCGGTTGAACAGGGTTTGGACACGGAACGTTGGCCCTAGGAAGCTTCCAACAGCGGCACATTTTCGACTGCACGATCGCGGGATGGCACAGCCTTAGGCAGGGGGTTCGAAGGAACTGCTACATCTGACAAGGCATTCAAAGGTCGGGGTTTGAGTCCCCTCTCATCGCTTTGGCCTCCCAGGTGTTTATAGGAAGACTTCTGCAGGAAAGACCATAAATAGGGAACACGGAACAGCCGGAAACACTCGACAAGTCTGAGAAAGAACTTTCTGACCAAAAAAAAACTTTCAAAAGAATTGTTGACTGGTCGGAGGCTACCGTCCCTCACCATCGCTGTTGCCTGCTTCCTTCTTTTTTCTTTTCTGTTTCTTTGTTTGTGTGTTTTAAATTTTCACTGCAACAACCCCCATTCCACCTAGATGAGTAGATCCAAAATTGAACAATACCTTTCATCTTCCTAGTCATCTTCATCGTCATCTTCATCTGCCAGCGTTGTCATGGTCGGGTGCTCTCTCTCTCTCTCTCTCTCTCTCTCTCTCTCTCTCTCTCTCTCTCTCTCTCTCTCTCTCGTGCCTTCGTGCATGCCAAAGAGGAAGCATGACTGTCCAGACTGTTTCGTTGGAATTTCACCAACTCATCAGGAGGTTGAACCCCAACACTCTGCCCAAAATGCATCTGTGTGCGTGTGTGTGATGTCATGTTCGCTTTACACAACTCCATAAAAAAAGGATTGACTACGCCTGACTGAACCAAGCACCGATTCCACGATGCACGTAGCACCGATGCACTTAGCACAAAGCACCAATTCTACAAACCAACCACCGAGCACCGATTCCACGAACCAACCACCGATGCACGTAGCACCAAAACCAAACCAAGCATGAACCATGCACGAAGTAGCACGAATGCACCAAATAGCACGAAAGTGCCACTAATGCAAGAACCAAACGCGACCAAGCACGAAGTACCCAGCACCAAGAGAGAGAGAGAGAGAGAGAGAGAGAGAGAGAGAGAGAGAGAGAGAGAGA